TTATTGATTCTATTTGCCAATGTCATCGGAGACAATGATGATTTGAACAAGATGCGTTTGTTCATTGCGTGCTGATCACGTGACTCTATGAGTCATGAGATAAAGCATTTAGACATGTCAGAGAAGAATCGTTTGGACAACATCTCTTTAGCACAATGCCAAGCAGAACTGGACATTTTTCATGAACGAGGCTGATAAAACTTCGAAACCCCTCAGAACTAGAGGCGTCGAACTCTCTCTCTCTCTCGTTTTCTCTGCCTCTCTGTCTCTCGGTCTCTGTAGATCTATGTCTCTCTCTCTCTCTCTCTCTCTCTCTCTCTCTCTCTCTCTCATTTTCTCTGCTTCTGTCTGTGTGTATTTTTGCCAAGCACCTACAAACATGTTTGTAGATTTACGTTTTCAAAAACTTAAACAAATTGTAAGTCATCTTGTAAACAACCATACCACCAGACGATACAAGTTGAGCTACAATGCTCATACGGTACAGTAAATTTCAGCAGCTTTCCTTGAACCCGTCTAAGATTCTACCCCCCCCCCCCCCCCCCCCCCCCAAATGTCAGTCTGAGTATTAATAGAAAGAGAAAACGTCCTGACAGGCTGTGGACAAAAATTTGATAATGAGCCAAAATGCATGGATGTTTTCGGGTTTCCTCTTCTAAACAAACGCTTAACATCGCTTTTTTGGAGAAAAAGGAAAAGATGCAGAATACAAAAGTTCTTAATTTATAGAAATATACCAATGTAGACTTCAATAGGATATGGGATACAGCGCTACATAAAAGCAATGTTATCTATTATTATTATTATTTTTATTATTATTATTATTATTATTGTTATTATTAATAATAATATTAGTAGTAGTATTGCTCTCTTCAAGAATCAGGTTAAATTAGTCATTAGAGAAAAGCGTGCTCATAATAAATGACCTTATGCTGTTGGAAACGTGTAAAATTCTGACCCCAAAGAAAAAACAAACGACAAGAAAGAACCAAAAAACCCAACAACAAACGGAAACAAATCAGAGCAACAGCAGGCAGTAGGCTATCTTCCACCAGAAAAGACAATCAAGAGCAACCCAGTACCAGCCCCGTCAGAGAAGGGCCTTGTTTGATCATTGTGTTGCTCAGAGACACAACATAATGGCAACTCATGTCTCTCAAATAAACAACTGAAGAGCAACTCATGCTTCTCAAATACACAACTGAATAGCAACTCATGTTTCTCAAATACACAACTGAGTAGCAACTCATGTTTCTCAAAGACACAAATTATAATAGCAACTCACGTTGCTCAAAGACACTAGATAATGACACTTCATGTTGATCAAAGACTCAATATAATGGCAAGTCATTAACTCGTCGATACGGGGAGAACACATTGCTTGCCATTTTTTCTTTGTGAGTCAAAGGTCATTGACCTCTCGGAGACTGGTGCCCCGGATGACAAGAATAGCTTGAGACGATAAGTAGAAGACAAAGGTAGTGTTGCAACAATAATTAGCAAATGATGACAGAAAAGTATCTACAACCATCGTAAGTAGTGACATCAAGATTGTTTGGTAAGAAACCTGATAACGCACATAAATGGTTTTTATCCTTGATCAAACTTGAGGTTGGGGAGTGAGAGGGGGGGGGGGGGGTAATAAATAGGAGTGCGACAAGACTGAAAAGTTTGTGTTTGTTTCTTGAGTTCTGATCATTATCACACCGGATTTTCCTCATTACCAGGTTTTCATTTGTGAAACCTCTTTTCCCATCTGGTCTGACACGTCTTTAGAATTTCTCTCACTGTCTGTCTCTCTGTCTCTCTCTCTCTCTCTCTCTCTCTGTCTCTCTCTCTCTGTCTCTATCTCTCTCTCTCTCTCTCTCTCTCTCTCTCTCTCTCTCTCTCTCTCTGTCTGTCTGTCTCTTTCTCTCTCCAGACAGACAGACAGACAGACAGAGAAACAGACAGACAAACAGACAGACAGACCGAGAGGGAGAGAGGGATGAAAGAGAGAGAGAGAGAGAGAGAGAGAGAGAGAGAGAGAGAGAGAGGGGGGGGGGGCTGAGTTACAGAGAGATGGAGACCTAATTCTCCTGTGACCTGGCCAACTCTGTACTTTTTACATCAGCCTAAGCGTATTTTAATTAACCGCACGTCTCGATCCAAGGTGTTGTTATAATAGTGATGATTATAAATCGATTCCCTTTTCTTCATTTCTGTTTCGTCAATATTCTTGTGAGATATATTTCTCCGTTATAACAAAGTGCGATTTTGGATTGTTTCGCATACTTTTATTTTGGGGGATTAGTGGTTAGGATTGTTGTCAATGTAGTTCTTACCTGGTCTTGTCTACTTGAGACTGTTATTAGATTTAAGTGGTGGAGACTGCACCTGTACCGAGCGTAATATTGTACATAATAATAATAATAATAATAATAATAATAATAATAATAATAATAATAATAATAATAATAATAAGAAGAAGAAGAAGAAGAAGAAGAAGAAGAAGAAGATATATATATATAAATATGTATATATATATACATATATATATATATATATATATATTAATATATATATATATATATATATATATATATATATATATATATGTATATATATATATACAATGCTATGTTATATTCTATCTTTCTCTCAAATGGGGGCTCTCGTGGCCTAGAGGTTAAGGTGTTGGCCTCTCATTCAAAGGTCCCGGGTTCGAACCCGGGTAGTGACCGAAAAATTTTCTTCTCTAAATTTGTCTCCTTTCACCTCATTTCCTGCTCTATAGCAATGTTCTGCCGTCTGCGTTCGTCTCCTCTTTCTGCCCCGACCCCCTTCCTCTGGGCTGCTGATTCTTTCTGCAGCCTTTCTACTGCTACTCCTTCGCTTCTTCTTACTGCTGTCTTTCAGCCACATCCTTGATCTTCCGGTTGGAAAGATCTACACCTAGCCCTCTCGGACAAGGGCGAAAAAATCTCGGAGGGCCCGAGTGCAAGTTGCGCACGTTAAAGATCCCTTGGTGGTCTAAAATCGATAAGAGTAGGCTTCGGCCGCCATCCGGGCAAAATTCAAAAAATTTCATACGAACTGAAAATATTAGGTGTGTCCCGCGCGCTCATATGACCTTATGCAGTTGCGAGCGCCGTAAAACACTTTACAGAAACAATTTCTCTCATATTCTTCTCTTTCAATCGCTCTCTCTCTCTCTCTCTCTCTCTCTCTCTCTCTGGTTTTTTTTTTATCTCACTTTGTTTTCCTTTTCTCTTTCTTTCTCTGTTTCTCTAACATTATACTCCTTAACCACATTGGGGGCTTCACCACAGTCCGACTATATACAATTCTTCGAGGCTGAAAATCCTCTCTGACCGGCAAACCATAGCTCGGGTTCTTTCCACGGATTCCTAGTAAATATTTCAACAACTCTAATCTCAAGCTCAGGTAAAAATGGGTGCTTCGCTAAAAAGCAGAGGACCACAGAAAGTTCACGTAGGCGGTGAAGGGTACAGTGGATGAAAAGACCAGGTGGACCTGAATAAAAGATGTCAGAGAATCTCTGTTTAGCCATAAACCGTTTCCAGAAAGAACTGCTTTTGTAGAGAGATGATGCTTTTCTTCCACCCCGCCCCACCAAAGACGTAAAGGTTTAATTGTTATCTGAACAGGTGGTGATTTCATCCCCAAATCCAGTTACTGGTGATATCCGGACTTGTGTTTCTCCTTGTCTTTCTCTACCCCCCCCCCCTCTCTCTCTCTCTCTTTCTCTCTCTCTCTCTCTCTCTGTCTCTCTTTCTCTCCCTCTCTCTTTCTCTCTTTCTCTCTCTCTCTATCTATCTATCTATCTATCTATCTATCTATCTATCTATCTAAACACACATTGTCATATATACGCACGCGTGTTTCACCTCTCCCTCTCCCCCTAAAAAATATATAAAATAATAACTCGGCCGCATAGGTTCTTTACTTAATGTGTATAAATATATAAAC